TGATGATGATGATGATGATGATGATGATGATGATGGTTGGTGATGATGACGATGATGATGATGATGATGATGATGATGATGATGATGATGATGATGATGAATGATTCGGATGATGATGATGATGATGATGATGATGGATGATGATGATGATGATGATGCGGATGACGATGATGATGATGATGATGATGATGATGATGATGATTATGACGATGATGATGATGATGATGATGATGATGATGATGATGATGATGATGATGATGATGCGATGATGATGATGATGATGATGATGATGATGATGATGATGATGATGATGATGATTTCGAGCTGATTGATTGATGGTGGTGATGATCGAAATTCACACAAATGAAGGGGATTCCTTCGAACTTTAATTGGGAGAAACAGATAGTGAAAGGCCTACTGCACCATAAGTGGAATTTTTGAGTGCACAATGTTGGACGAATTCATCCAATATGCACCCCTTCATTAATGTCCAAGAGGTCTCCTTTGTGACTGCCTGATGATAGATTCAAAGTGGAAATGGGTCCAAGCATGAGTGTTTTTTCATGACGTTTGTCAACAGATGACCTCGGTTCTATTATGTTCTCGTGGCTAGCAATTATTGTTTGCGTCATCGACTTCATCAACCCCCTTGGAATATGTTTGAAGACCCGTTTGGATAGCGGACGGTTTGTTCTGCGTGTGCGTGTGCCCTTACAGCTGAGCTGGTTGGAGTTGTTTTTTTCAAATCTGACTCTACACACTAAGTTGAATTCTCAGAGAAGAGCAGCAAACAGGTTTTGTTTTTCAACAAACTTGTTGTGAAATACCTCATGACAACAACAACAGCAAAGTTGAACCTAGTTCTTATTTACATCCTCCATTACGTAATCGTATTGATAAACTCTTAGCAATTGGTGAAGCGTTGCTTACATTGTTCTTCTTTAGGCCTTCGAAAGTTGTTGATACAGTCAATCCACTTACCTTATATTTAACCATTCACCTCTTCTTTTGGTAATCTTTATTTGCATTTTACACATTTATTCGGTTTTATTGATCAGCCCAAGATTCTAAGTATATCTACCAGACTGTTTTATGTCAGCGATTGATGAGATTAAACCAAGTCTTCCCATAACGCGATGTCTTCTCTTTGTATTAAAGCATAAGCAGTGGTGGTGTGGACACCTTCTTATAAGAAAAACAAATACTAAGGACTCTGTAACGATTATTCTATCTCCATCTAATCCTGATGTGTGACTTTTACCATTTTAAATAAACTGAGTTTTCTTCCTGTCAATTATAAATAAATTTCAGTCCCATTCTAAATGAACACTAGAACAACCGCGACTTAGAAATACCCTAGAGCTGCCAAACAGTCATCTGAACTTCTTCTCATATTGATCGGTTGTTTCCCGATATCAAGTGTTGCAAATTACTTTGTGCTTATCCAACTCCCCGGGAAAACGCCTCCCAAGGAAGTGCGCTTTATACTATCTCGGAAACAAACCACATGCCCATAGTATCGACCAATCAGGAGCAATGCGGTTCAAACAGTATCTGTGTGACGGAGAAAATAAAAGCAGGCGATTGGTGACAGCTATAGAGATTTAGAGATTACGGTTGTTCTAGTGTCACTTTAGATTAACTCTTTGTTGATTTCTAAGGAATCAGTTAAATCTCAATGAGTTCTTTAACGTTCTTGCTTGCGGACCATTCACCTGCCCATTCTTTAGGCGAGAAGTGTGCTCATAGTTGAGAAAAAATCGTCATTCGTAAGGGTTACATGCGCGCAACAACGTTGGGTAAGTTGACTGTCCTCTAAAAACAATGTACTTATTAGCGGTCTTTGGGCGAGGGTGTTAAATGGATACCTCGCCATTTAAGCTTCTTTTACCGACAGTCATCGCCTGTGGTCTTCGTGGGACAGTATTGACAATTTAAGTGCTGAAGAGTCAACCACCGTCAAATAAATTCATCAGCAGTGACGGAGGAATGCCATATCACGTGGTGTAGACGTTTATAAGGCTCGATGAAAGGAGAATTCCGGTCGCATCCAACTAGAATATCCTCCCTGGTAGGACGTGGTAAACGCCTAAAAATGGAGTTCACATAGGGGCGAAGATAGTTGCCAATATTAGGAAGCGGAATAGACGAACTGAGTCACAGGAATTCATCACTGACGTACACGTACCGTAGACCCAACATCTCTTCCTGGATCTGAAAGCGGCCTTCGACTAAGTTGACCGCTTTAAACTCTGGCGCTGCCTTTCTCTTAAAGGTGTGCCCGAGAAGTTAATTTCAATATTACGATCGCTTTATACTAATGGCCGAGGTCGAGTCCGGGCTTACGCCACTTTTTTGCCCGAGTTCATCACGGAAAGTGGTGTTCGTCAGGGTTGCCCTCTCTCTCCATTTCTATTTAACTTCGTTATAGATCTGATTATGGAAACAGACCTAGCCTCGTGCGAGGACAGTGGCATCGATTTACTCCCAGGTGGCAGGCTGTCTGATCTAGAGTACGCAGACGACATTGTGCTANACTTGACTGCCAGTGTAGCCATATTCGGTATGCGTTTTGCACCTTCAAAGTGTAAAATGTTGCTAAAAGACTGGGTTGGTCCAGCACCCAACCTCACTTTAACTGAGGAAGTAACAGAGCAGGTGGAGAAGTTTTGTTATCAGGGCAGCAACATCTCACCTGGTGGACGCATCACGGTTTAAGTGTCAGTTCGTATACAGAAGGCTCGGTTGACATTTGCCAACCTGAGACATCGGTGGCGCCGTCGCAACAGCCGGCTGTTTGTGAAGGGTCGAGTGTTTGCCGCGACAGTTCAGCCAGTCCTGCTATATGGTGCAGAAACTTGGTCATTAAGAAAACAAGCTAAAGATGGACTGTCGGTGTTTGAACACCACTGTCTA